TGTTTTGATTCTTTGTTGCCATCATAATATCCGATATATCATTACATCCGATAATATTGGTTATAGTGATATTTGTACTGGATAAAATACGTTTTGCTTTTGATATTTCGGACCAATATCACTGTAGCCAATATATTCTTATATCCGGTCACTCTATAGCCGATACAGACTGTACTAACTTTGTCTGCTTGACCCAGCGCTGCTGCATGCGCGCTGCTGCAGCGCTGGGTCACCTGACGCCCCCCTACGCGTACGCTTGCCCCCTTTCGGCCCCCCTACTATTATTTGCGCAAATGGTCTATTGAGGCGGCACAAAGAGGATACGCCAAGAAGGACTCCTTGACCAGCTTCTGCCACTGAGTTTCCCTCTCCAAACAGGACTTTCCTTGTTTGTGTCTCGCGGTAGCAATATGGGACATGATTATACTCTTCTTCCCTGACAATGTTGTATGGCATGCCATGCACACTAACTTGCCAAAGTCGCTTTTGAGCGGCTCATCTGGGAACTCCCGCACCCGTGTTTCGGCGCTGATGGCCACTTCAGTGCTCTGTCCATGAGCTACTCGCGTCCTTTTGGAAACATTTTCAGACTTGGTAATACCTGTTTTCTGAAAAGACCGCTTCCTCGCTATCGCGGCAGGATCTGCAGTTTCCAACTCGACGACGTCACTATCATCAGAGGACTCCGCCAAAAGCTCATTTTGTTTGTTGTTGTGTTTATTTTAATTCGCAAACCAAACGGGCAGATCTGCCCAATGAAAAGGTGGCGAATGCAGATAGAAAGCAGTAATAAATGAAATTGGGGACTGATGTAATTAGGATAGAGGTGGAGAAAAACTAAGCCAGCTGATCATCAAACAGGACGTCTGGTACTCTAGGTACTAAGGCCAGTAAGTGTGTGCGGGATCATGCTGGCGCGGAACTGGCGGAGCGTGGAGATGGCACGTACATCGCTGGGTAATGTGTTCCACAGCTGGGCGCCCCGGAACGCGAGGCAACCCTTGCCGAACCTGGTGGAAACTGGCGGTTGGCGCAGACCCATGGTGGAGTGCATCTGGAGAAAGCCCAGCTTCCTCCCAATCCCAAGAACGGCATCGCAGCGAGTCAGCCATCAGCGTTGGCTGCTAGTTAGCTGGTCTTACACAATGGTGAATGTCAGGTGAAAGTCCAGCGTTACTCTTCGACAAAGACATGGACTCTTGCTTCGATGAAGAATGTTTTTGTAACATTGTGGACAGTAACCGGGTAAGGTCTGGAATGTGTGCGTGTGTGCACCTCCACCGTTCCATGCTGGCTCACATTTGTTTCGTTGGTTCGGCGTTGTTACCTGGACCTTCAAAAAGTTGCTGGCCGAAGATAGACTTCCGGGACCGGAAGTTAGTTTCTGCGAGAGTTTTCACACTGTGCTGGACCACAGCTAGCTAGCACTACTGCTGCATGCAGTATACACCAGGTATACTGGGCCTGGCGATGCGTGCCGCAGTTTGGTACCATGCATGATGTGTACGGACGGTGGTCTATCGCTTGTACTTGTAGTAATACATTGCGTAGGGTAATAAATGTTGCCAATCAAAGACCAACGCTATAGCCGATACTAATTAATCTGTACATGACGAATAGACCAATCCCGAAAAGATTGTCTGGGTTCGAAAGGGGGCATGTCAACTGAGAGTACACTGTACAACACATACATGGCACTACCTGATCAGCATGCGGCACAGGACGTGTTTGATAGTTCGCGTGTGAATGCGAGGGTAAGTACACGGTTTTCTCGTTAGTTGCATGCAAGAGGGACGATGCGACAGAAAGCAAAGCCCTTTGTAGTTTTCTCTCTCGCACTCGTAATGGTCTGCTGTTGGAGTGGAAATGCTAAGACATAATCCTTGTTTCGGTCTTCTGTGTAGTGTGAAGAGGTCAACGAACATGTAGAGCTCACTTTGATGAAGTAGGCAAGGCTGTGAGCGCTTTGGCTCAAAGCGATAGGCCCTAAATCTTACGAGATATTTCGAGTGCTATTGTTTGTTGCGAGCGCTTCGTCTTCGATGAGTCCTGCCTCTTTCCTGGCAGCTGCCCTCCTATAGGATCAACCACGAAGTGACTGTACTCATCTGCAGCCGATCAATGTTATATTGCACAAGAAGATATCGTTTTCGCCAAGCCAGTGCCCCGCCAAAGACCATCGCCGTGTCACACCGTCGGAACGAGTTCATGATGAGAAACATCATTCGCGCGAGCGTGATGAAGAATTATTTCGAAAGACAACATAGTCTTTACCCCCGGGACGACAACTATGCGCACGTCCTGCAAGGGGAGAATGTCACCAGCGATATCAACGAAGACGACGGCAGTATTTCGGAAACCTGGAGTCAGCGGAGGTCGTCAAGCTCCTCCGCGACCCGGTACATGTACAGTATAGGTGACATGTCGACACGAGCGTGCGGAAACACAGCATACACTGTAGTAATGTTGCGAGAGTTTGCGGAAGGAGTCCAAGTCGGGAAATCCATCAGCTCCAAAAGCTACCTGTAGGTGGGCGATGAGACTCCAGCTTCAGACTACAACAGTCAGGACTTGTAAATAGTTGAACTTTGTGAAGCAGCAGATCGAGAAGTTAGCTGAAATCGTAGCTGTTGCAGTATGTCGGCGCTATGAAGCTTGCATTTTTTACGGAGAGTCGATCGCCACGCGAATGTTTTTCTCCTCACCGAGAGCTATCTGGCCTCCAAACTCCGTCAGGGTCTCCCTGAGGTACCGAAGGTCCTTTGACTAGCTGCTGGCAGGACTCCATCAAATCCTTTAGCTTCAGCTCGGCTAGCAATAGTCTCTCTCTCCTCCGCCATGAGCTGACACACACAAACTGAATACAAAACGATGCACTTCACACGTGCTGGCTTGCACGCGTGCCCCCTTTCACGAACCCAGACAATCTTTTCGGGATTGGTCTAGACGATGTGTGTAGATCTACTATGCAGTCATGTAGAACGTCGTATAATGCCATGTTTGGCCTCGTAATGCTTTATAATGCTCGTAATGCTCCGGGTGGTGTATAATGCTCGATATAATGCCGGCATTATCCGCAAACACCTATCGTGGAGCGATAGCAATTACCTAATTTCAGACCCAGAGTGAATTTGACGTGCACTCTAAAACGTGTCCGGTTTGGAGCCACCTCTGATTTGAACTTTTTTGAAGCGAAAAATTGGGCAACTTGGAGGCAATGGGTCAACACAAAGGAGTGGCTCAGTTCGATTGACTCTGGCCCCAGAGCAAACTTCAACATGCCAGTTTCCTTCCACAAACATTATTTCGAGTGAAAAATCAACGCTGATGATCGGTTTGGGTCTATACAAATTTGGCTGTCAAAGCGTCCCGGTATCGAGCCGTCCCCTCTACCACCCGCCGCAAGCCGCGCTGGTCACGTCAGGCTAGGTTCTCTGTTGCCGCTCCCAAGCTGTGGAACGCACTACCCAGCGACATCCGCACCATCCCCCAACGCAGTGTGTTCAAGATGTCAGTCATCCCACATACGCTCGGTCCATGAAACGTATCACCCATTATTCCAGTCACTGTTGCGGTCGCATCCACTCGTAGTCCACGTCCACTGATGTCGACCGAGGTAGCTCTCTTGCTACTGTGCTGCTGTGTAATAGACTAATAGTACATCAGTAGCGTTTGTCGGGTGCACTGTCTTTGTCGTCATACACGACCCAACCTGGATGTAGTCCAAGCCAGGGATTCAGTGAATTACCGGAACGACTCCCTGATATGGTCCTAGGCAGAAAGAAAAGATTAGGAAAAGCAACAAGGGCGAGTACGAGGCTGTGAAGGTGAGTACGTCGAGTGCGCGCCTGAAAAGGTGAGTACGAGAGTGAATGTGAGTGCGCGCCCAAAAAGGTGAGTTCGCGCCTGTAAAGGTGAGTACGAGAGTAAAGGTGAGTGCGCGCCTGAAAAGGTGAGTACGAGAGTGAAAGTGAGTGCGCGCCAGGGAGTCGTAAAATACAGGGAGTCGTAAAATACGACTCCCTGGTGCGCGCCTGTAAAGGTGAGTTCCAGGGTGCGAGTGCGTACGAGTGTGCGAGTGCGTGCATATGTGAAATCGTGAACCTAACATAATAATGGGGCTGTTAAGTGTGACGTCACGGCCCCTTCGATACGCATAGCAACGGAGAGCACCGGGGACAAACAAAAGTCGCGTCCTCTGGATGGAACTACATGTAGTTGTCAAGGGTAACAGCATCTAAATGACTGGAGAGAGAGCAGTTTTTCTTTGCTTTTTCTTCAAGCGATTGTTGTCGCTCTTTACTCCTTGTTCTTTCCTCTACAAATCTCCTGTAGTCGTCGAGGGCCTTTATAATGGCTGTGAAATTGGCTGCCCACCGTGTTTGAGAGTGCTTTGAAGATTCTTCGCGTCCTGATGGATCAAAGTACGAGCGCTCCCTGTGGATTCGATTATATGTAGGTGAGTTGTTCAAGAAATCAGTGTCTTCTTTCTGTCTCTGCCCTCACGCTGGCACAATATATCAGCCTCTATATCCATGACAGCTCGCACCTCCCGTAAACTGCATGACTTAGATATATTCTCGCCCTCCGTGGTGATTGAAGACCCATGGAAGAAGTTATTATGTTCAGAATGATATCCTGAGAATATAAAATAAAATAATTCTAGGGAATTGTTACAGAGTATTTTGGAAGGATGGAGAGAGAGAGAGAGAGCACTGAAGTGTTTGTCTCACTGTCATTACTCCAGATTATTGAATGGTGTATGATCTACTCGATATTTTCCACAATGGTTTTTCCTGATTTGCGGGATCTCTTCTTTTGCCGTTTGCGTGTTTACAGAAAGTGACTGTCTGGTGTATCTGCACCAGATCCTGGGGAAATGAAGTCAGATGCAGAGGCAGGGTCGTCCAGTGATGCAACACTGCCCTTCTATGTGCAACATCACCGCTAATTCCCCCGGCGAAAACACAAAAAGACAAACACGTGAAGAGACTACAGTATTGACCGTTCTGGTAAAGAATCGTGACTGCTCGGACAGTCGATAATCGAAACACAGAGCACCAGCATGATGTTTTCATATTGGGAACCGCACACCAGCTCAATTCTCAAGCCCAAAAAATGATGAATACAAAACACAGAGCGACGCAACAAGAGATCATCCGGCAACCAAACCAACCTGGGTCTAATGCACTGAATAGTCCTGACATACGCAGGCCACACAAAGCAGTGCAAGCACATACTGTTACAAGGTACATGCATTGCAGAACAAAGTGTAACCAAAGATACACAGGGTTATAGCTGCACACTCGTGCATGTGCTCGCTCAGCCCAAGAACACGCATGATGATAGAAATAATCCGGGGGAAACACGCTAGCACCGAAGTAAGCATCAAGACGTAAATAGTGCAGCTCTGAAAAAGTATAAATTACATTGACATGTACATTGGTGTGCCGAGTAGTATCATCCTTGATTATGATTATGCATCCAACCACGACGTTATCAGGCCCCAGACGCCGAGATCGCACGCCGAATGTGAAGTGCATCTAGCCTTGAACCTGTTGCACAAGGCACACACATATGACAAAAATGACATCCACTCTGATTATTTCCAGAGGTCTATCATAACAGAACACAGAAATGAAACTACGGGCTCAACAAAGTAAACGCAAAGGAAATTAGTTAAAATAATCCATGAAGTGCTATTTTAATTCCAGCACGGACTGCAATGTGGCGTCATGGCCCGATACCCGCTGAGCATAGACACAAACTCCATTTGACAGGGGCAAGACATATTATTTTGGAATAAAGTTATAAAGTACAGCATTCCAATGACATGACGGACACCTCGTGCAAATGCGTGTCTGTTCATCCGGCCAACTCGGCCACGCATGAGAGTGTGTGCATGTACGCGCGCACGCAAGCGCGCGCGTGCACACAGACCATGTATTCGGTGCGTATGGCGTACCTGTTGCGGAGATATGAAAATGGAATCATTATCATGATGTTACATGTACATGTACAGTGTATGTTTGAGTGTAAAGTAAATTATATTTTATTACACATTTCTTCGACACAACTTACTCCACATCTTCGCATTTCTCATAATCCATCCACCTACACTCCATCTCAGTTGAGGAAAAACTCTCCCAGGTATACACTAGTCACCACAGCCATGTGATGACATTGGGATAGGTCCCAAGCACGATTGCACTCTCCAGTTACAATAATTATTATAATTTATTTGTCCAGATTATCTGTGAAGACAAAATGCAATGCATAGCGGCAATGGATGAAGAGAGAGTTTGTAAATACACATATCTTTCCACTTGTTCAGGAGCTTACCTTTTGGAGTTCACATCGTTTACACGATCTCTTATGCTGTCTTGCACCTTGGCTTTGTTGACCATGGATACGCCATCCCAGAAGACATTCTACAGGAGCTACTAATGCAGAGCGTTTTTCACGCTTGATCTCGGCGATCTAGCTCGTCACGCCAATAAAATCCTCTGTGACACTGGCTACAGTCACAAGAGACGTCTCAGTAAGGTAATGAGCACGACAACACCGTCGAGATCAAGGACAAAGAGAAAACAAAACACTCACTGAAAACAGCAAAGAAGAAACGAAGAAATGTACCGGTACACGATTCCTATAATTATGTTGCCACTGACAACTGGTTCGGTGGAGACGACGCTTTTTTTGTTTGTCCCCAGTGGGATCGTTGCTATGCGTATCGAAGGAACTGTGACGTCATCACTTAACAGCCCCATAGGCTGGAAGCGTTCATTGTGTCACGTGTCTGTGGAGTTGATGTACCGCCAGTACCGGTAGTAGCAAGAGTACATAACCCCCCAGAGTGTGCAACGCCGATCCAGCTCTGCATAGGGTCTTGGTCGAGCGGAATCGGATCTTCTGATGTCATGCGTACACTCGACTCCACACATGTACCAGCGCAAGGCCGGTATGTCTATAGTAGAATGACCCCCCAGCAGATGGACCCCCGGGCATTGTGCTATACATGTAGTAGAGGGACCCCGGGGTCCCTCTATTATAGTACAATGCCCGGGGTCGTTCTATTATAGTAGATTGCCCCCTGTCATTCTACTACAGAGTCCACCAGACTTGTCGTTTCGCACGTGCAGGTAGAAAGGGATGGAGTTTACACCACAGATTCCACGTGGACATTATGGATTGTGGCAAGAGTCCGGGGTTATGTACTCTTGATTGTGGGAATATGTGGTGAAAAGTCCACAACATTTGTACATAGGTCGCGCACTTTTCCTCTTTAGGAGACATGAACATCCCACCTTGTGTTGGATTGTTTTTGTTTTGGAGTTGGAAGAAAGTTTGCAAGTTCAGTGTTCCTTTGCGTTTTCTGTGTGCTCCTTGCTCCTTTTGGATTATTGTGTGTGTGATAGGTGCATTGATTAGGCCTTGACGGATTCTGCTAGCATAATTTTTCGCATAATTCCTACCAAAATCGAATAGTCGCATAATTCGAGGCAAATTGCATACGAATCGCATAAATTGGAATAATCCGCCTGTTCGCATCAAATTCCATACAGTTGTACATGTTCTACAAGTACAAGTACAAGTTGATGCATCAGGAAGTCGTAGGTTTACGACTCCCTTAAATAACATGTCCAGTCCACTACAATCAGTGACGGTCGTAGCTAGGTCGGACGGTGCGTTGACCCCATTGAACTTTTGCTACTACAGTACAGCGCCCTCTACAAAAACATTCCCCTGTTATTTTGCACAGAACCATCATATACATTAGCAGCATATGTGAGCATAATGCGGCATAATATGTATAACGTTTAGCATAAAAATAGCATAATTCTGCAATTTTTTCAGCATTGCGAAAAGCATAATTTCACGAAAATATTAGCATAATCCGTCAAGGCCTAGCATTGATATTAAAACAGAGAGGTTCCAGGCTGTCCAAAAGAGTGCTCAATACCGAGTGGTAGAGCAACAAAAGCAAAAGGTGCAACCTGTGCCTGGCAGAGAAATTGGCAATCGCGCAAGCACCCAAGCACCTCTCTCTCAACAAAAGGAGTGAGCTTGTGTCGAAGTGTCGCCATGAGAATAGGTACTACCGGTACCTTCGGAACTTTAAACCAGCTACAGCCATCACCGAGGGGGATCGTTGTAAGCGCATGTAGCGACCTGACTCACTGAGTATTACGTCATTCTACAAACGCATGCGCAAGAAATAAAATCATTCTCTTTGGTCACAACTTCTTCGTTGTCCGGTTGGCCAAAGTAGCCGTCGTCTAGGGCCCGACGTAAAACCCTAAATTGGTGACCCCCGACGCTGCGCTCTTCGGAGTTTTGAGCATGCCATCCCTGAGCTCGGCCCGCCGCAGTTTCCTGCTCGCCTCAACTCTCGGGAACCCGTCAATCGCCGGCTGTTGACGTAAAACTTGAGCCTCACCACCACTGGATCCGCCTCGCGCTCGGAGCTGCTGTGGCCCCTGCCACCCTCCCACCTGGATACCCCGCTATCCTGCCACGGCCCATCGTCCAGTCGTCGTCGTCCGTATTCGTCCTGGCCTCAAGCTGGAAATTGGCCACCTCCACCCGTCGTACCAGCTCACTCACTGTGCACGCACGCAGGCACACGCCCGGCACCGGACCCCATGGAGCTGCGCTCGCCTCCATCTGTCCCCGCCTCAGTCGGCACGCCTCGCCCCAGTGCAGCGCTCCTGCTGGTATCCCGCCAAGCCTGCAACATGCAGCCGCCTCTGACATGATAATACTCCTCTGTCACGCGTACCTTTCCTTTCTTTCCGCCTCTGACACGATAACACTCCTCTGTCACGCGTACATTTCCTCTTTTCTTTCTTTCTGCCTCTGACATGCTCTCCACCTCTGTCACGTTAACACACCTCTGACATGTTAACCCGCCTCTGTCATGCATCTCTCTCATTTCCGCTTTCTGCATTTTTGATTTTGTTTCGGCCTTTGTTGCCACGTCTCAAACAAATTTCATACACGCAGCGCTCTCGCCTGTACATATGTATCATATTATTATATTTTTGTCTTTCCGCCTTGTACATGCTGCGCTTTCCTTTCTCTTCTCTTTCTTGTTTCTTGTTTATCGTGCTTCGCTCCTCCCGACCTCACCACTGGCGGGGGAGTACTGTAGCGACCTGACTCACTAAGTATTACGTCATTCTACAAACGCATGCGCAAGAAATAAAATCATTCTCTTTGGTCACAACTTCTTCATTGTCCGGTTGGCCAAAGTAGCCGTCGTCTAGGGCCCGACGTAAAACCCTAAAGTACTATATAGTAGAGTGACCCCGGGGGCAATCTACTATATAGTACAATGACCGGGGTCACGAGGCAGGGCACCATTGTTTTTGATCCAAGAGTACCCGCGACTCCCCGGGTTCCCCTCAGATGTGTATGTCGCAAAGATCCGATTCCGCTCGACCAAGAGCTGGATCAGGCGTTGCACACTCTGGGGGGTTATGACGAACTTACCGGGTATGTACTCTTGGTTAGGCCTTGACAGATTATGCTAGCATAATTTTTCGCATAATTCCTACCAAAATCGAATAATCGCATAACTCGAGGCAAATTGCATACGAATCGCATAAAATTGGAATAATCTGCCTGTTCGCATCAAATAATTCAATACAGTCGTACATGTTCTACAAGTACAAGCACAAGTAGATGCACCAGGAAGTCGTAGGTTTACGAGAAATTACGACTCCCTTGATAACATGTCCAGTGGCAATAGCCCTTTCCCAAAGCTGCTCGCCACTTTTTTCGCAACTTTTCGTTGTTTAGGAAGAAATCGCAACCTTCGCAACTTTCGCAACTTTCTTCATTTTCGCGAACTATTTCGCAACTTTTTCGCAACCTTAGCGCAATTGGCGCCATGGCATGGGGTCAAACGGTCAAGTCAACGACTCACCGACTACATGTCGGACAAATGCAAACTCGTACTCGCTCATTTCTCGCCTGCCTTCACAGGCTTCAGACTGATTTCAGAGAAACAGTAGATCAACGGTAGTTATGATAATGTGCACTGAAGTAATCATGGTAATAGTTCCCTTTTCCTTGCACTGGAATGATGTACATGTAGGATACATGTACATGCAACAGGCTACTGGCACTGTGTAAAGTGGTGGTTCACCGCAGGAGCGGGTGTAGACTACGAGTACGAGTTTGCTGTCGATGCACCGTAAGTTCTGCTATTTCTACTCCCTTTTGTGTAGTTTTTTGCACTACAGTCCATTTCAAAACTATAGACGCGTACCTAGGTAAAAACCGTTATGCCAGCATCTATACCACATAAAATCTGTGATCACTTTGTGCATATATTTTTCCAAATTGGGCGTCTGTTATCCAATCGTTTAGAAACTATATGAGAGTAATTGTGGAGCGATCCTGAGCAATATTCCGAAAACTATTCTCAAAAAGTTCCAGCCAAATTTGAAATATTTCAAAAACCCTACGCGTGTATAGTTTTCAAATGGACTGTAGAACTCTCCAATTCTAGGTTTAGATATTAGCAACTTTTGAGCTTTTTCTGAAAATGTGGATGCGATTTCAGCAACTAGCTCTTGTTTTGGCACGGTTGCGAAAAGCATAAGTTGCGAAAAATTATGGCATCTTTGGGAAAGGGCTAGTCCACTACAATCAGTGACGGTCGTAGCCAGGGAGTCGTAAAATACCGGTATTTTACGACTCCCTGGTCGTAGCTAGGTCGGACGGTGCGTTGACCCCATTGAACTTTTTGCTACTACAGTACAACGCCTTCTACAAAAAAATTCCCCTGGTATTTTGCACAGAACCATTATCAAGAGTACATAAACCAGAGTGTGCAACTGTACATATCAGATCTGAAACAGCGCAGTTCGTGCACTACGTCACCCTGGTGAGGTCAGCCAAGCGCGACTTGCGTACAGATCAAATTTTCGTGTTTCACAGACCGGAAATCAACCAAGTTTGCATGATTTTGGTTGTCCTGTTTTAGGATTTCGGTGTTTTTGTGTGACTGCGTATGCTGCATACATCCGCTGACAAGTAAATTCACCAGGCTATCCGTTTCCAAAAACCGAAATCAGGACAAACTCAGGCTGCGTTTACACGACAACGATTGAAAACGATTTGCGTTTACACGACAACGAAGTAGGACCTAAACGGAACGAAATCGTTGCGTTTACTACTATCGTTTACACGACAACGCCCGAAAACGATACCTAAACGGAACGAAATGGAAACGCACTTCAAAGTGTTTTGAAACGTTTTCAAAACGTTTTCGTTCTCGTGTAAACGGTGAAAACAGTGAAAACGATTGGAAACGGAGCGCGGTCATGGAAACCATTCCCCGCTGGACTATATTTCGCGGGAAATATACTTGACCTTTGCGACCACCAGCACGTACCAACTCCAACTAACGTGTTACTTCCCGCCCTTGCGCCAAGCCAGCACGTGCTAACTCCAGCCTGATCGCCCGTTTTCCGTTTTCGTGTGAACGGTTCAAAACGATTTGCCGTTCTCGTGTAAACGGTTTGAAAACGATTCGAGGCCAGCCCGTTTTCGTTCCGTTTCATTTCGTTTCGTCTCCGTGTAAACGCAGCCTCAGTGACCTGCACCACCGCGACTGGTTGCGCAACCTTTCACCGTACCTGTGGCTTACCATGGCGTCAGAAATGACGTACTGCATGAATTACGCTCCCACAGGAACCATCCCGAGTTGCACACTCTGGTTTATGTACTCTTGCCATTATACATAGGCCTTGACGGACTATGCTAGCATAATTTTTCGCACAATTCCTACCAAAATCGAATAATCGCATAATTCGAGGCAAATTGCATACGAATCGCATAAATTGGAATAATCCGCCTATTCGCATCAAATTCCATACAGCTGTACATGTTATACAAGTACAAGTACAAGTAGATGCGTTAGGAAGTTGTAGGTTTACGACTCCCTTGATAACATGTCCAGTCCACTACAATCAGTGATGGTCGTAGCTAGGTCGGACGGTGCGTTGACCCCGTTGAACTTTTGCTACTACAGTACAACGCCCTCTACAAAAAAAATCCCCTGTTATTTTGCACAGAACCATTATGCATTAGCAGCATATGTGAGCATAATGCGGCATAATATGATAACTTTTAGCATAAAAATAGCATAATTCTGCAATTTTTTCAGCAATGCAAAAAGCATAATTTCGAGAAAATATTAGCATAATCCGTCAAGGCCTGCACCTTGCAACTGGCGTGAGTGAAACCACTGTCACTCGTTGTGTCAGGCGAAGGGAACAGGGAGGCTCAAATCAAATCAAAAAGAGAAAATATAATTATCATCTCTACTGTATTTCACCCAACAAGATCCAAATATGCAGAAAAGAAGAGAAAAAAGGCAGGAGGCGTGATGGGATTCGAATGCCCCACACTTGTACTGGAAATCACGGATCGAAACCACGAGGCTACCAGGACCCGTACAAAAATGCACCCGCGCCGCGATGGTCTGGCAGCACTGTCTCAGCAGGAGCAAAAATCCGAAAAAAACTGGTGAAACCCTTCAAAACAGAAATTACATGTAAAACCGGAAAACCTGGCCTAAAAATAAACTTCAATTGTAGCGAAAACAAAGTATATAGCCAGAATTGTGAAGCGATGCAGAGACAGAATCTGGAGAAAAAACTAAAAATATTTAAATAAATCCCATCGAATTTTGCAAAACACTACGCGTCTATAGTTTTGAAATGGACTGTAAGCTTGTTACGAAGTCATGACGTCTGGATATTAGCAGCTATGACTGTGCAGGCTATGGGTATTGCTCTAATAATTAAAAAAAAATTGAGGTATAGTTGATGTTCGGTAATGATGGAAGGAGAGCTGGAGCTACGGGAGAGATGAGCTGATTATGAGAATTCGCAGGGTTAGGGTGACATCGGTTGGACGAGTATGACGATTACGAAGACAGTTGAACATGACAGTTTTCAAAGGTAAGGAAAAACCTTTCACAACAAAAGAAGTCAACTAATGAATAGAAGAAGTAATGTTTTCTCTTTTCCATGTTGATCTCTAGCATGCATGGACACCTTGGTAAGGGGAAACTCATGTATTTGTTGTACTTATGGCCACTTGCAAGTATGAAAAAGGCACAATTTTCCGAAATTTGAGGCTCCATAAGCACAACAAAGTGAATATGTATCCCCGCGTGCCAAAGCATAATATGAGGATTTTGCGAGCATAATGCGAGAATCCATGATAGCATAATTCCATGATTTCGCGGGCATAATCCGCCGGTGCCTAGCCCAGGGCTGCTGACAGCTGAAAATAACCTATCTCCAAGTTTGGGGCTTGTCATCGTGAATCTTCACTTTGCGATTAAAGTATTCACAGCAGTGCCAAAGTTTCTAGGTCATTGAATGTGGGTGCCAGCGGCCTACAAGGAAGCAAAAAATCAAATCAATACGACCACTCATATTACAGGTGGTTCATGTTAAAGAGAGGTGCATTAAAATTGACAGGTGGTCAAATATGGTCAAAATTTGACAATTTCTCACCTTTTTCCCGTTTGAAGCTCAAAACCTGAAAAATAACCAACCTGATCTTGGCGTATAGCTGGACTTAGGGAAGTGCACCAAGAAAAAAAGCCACATTTCTCTAAATAACTCGCCCAGGGCTGCTGAAAGCTGAAAATAACCTATCTCCAAATTCGGGGCTTGTCGCCGTGAATCTTCACTTTGCGATTAAAGTATTCACAGCAGTGCCAAAGTTTCTAGGTCATTGAATGTGGGTGCCAGCGGCCTACAAGGAAGCAAAAAATCAAATTAATACGACCATTCATATTACAGCTGGATCATGTTAAGGAGAGGTGAGCAAATATGACCTTTCTACATTAGATATGTATGCAATAAATGCCTAACATCAAAAGGGTGTTCTAATGTGTATTGGAACAAGTGCCTTAGAATAAGGGGCCGTTTACATGAGAAAATAAGCTCGGGCTTATTCAACCCTAGGCTTACCATAAGCCCGCCTTGATCTGTCACCCACATAGCCAGCAATCGCATGTCACCACGTACTTTGAAAATCAACAAAAATTTTCGAATCGACCTTTTTTTCCGGATCACTTTTCAACGAGGACGAAGCAAAGTCGGCCGAACGAAGCCTAGAGGAAGAAAATCACCCTCTCCACTTCACCATCACGATACTGACATAGATACGAGATGAAACAACTAAAAAATCCACAAGAAAACTGTACGGCCATCATCGCGCTGACTTTGGTCTGACTTTGGTCTGAGAATTTCTATCACGATCAAAAATGTACGAGGAGCACTCAAAAATACGCCACAGACGTACCTTTATCGCTCTCTAATCCTTTTTCAAGGCACAAAAGTCGAGTCTCCACTTTCAAACCAGGAACCAGACATACCAGTGGTCCTTTTCAGCTGCTCCACGAGCGCAGGAAAGGTTCACCAAGGGGCGCAGAGCAGCATCCATTCCAGAAAAAGAGCTAAAATACGAGTGAGACTGCATGACTGAGTACATGAGTACATGTATGAGTACATGCAGAAAATAGTCAATTTCAGCGTTTCTGCTCCAAACAGCAACTAGCTTCGACTAGAAACAAAGATTACACCAAAGGATCAAACAACAACCATTTTCTGCAGTTTTTTTGCAGATGGCTTCCTTGTGCTCGGCCCAGCACGCCAAAAATCACACCTCGGAGGAGTACAAAAATTACAACTCTCAGATGTCCTCGATTGCTGGCCATGGTCATTTTAGAGCGCGCGTTTACATGGTCAGGCGGGCTTATTCAGCTCGCCCCGAGCTGAACTAGCCCTACCCTTGACCCCCGAGCTTATCCAACCCCCAGGGCCTATTTTGTCATGTAAACGGTCAAGAATATAAGCCCTGGGCTTATAAGCGAGTTTTTCCGTATTTTTCGATTTTGCCTCGTGAACCTGAGAGAATGTGGCCGTGGACAGTGCGTCTCTTCTATTTATTTCTTGATATGTTTTCTTCTGATTTTTGTCCAGTGGAAGGTCCTAGCCCATCCTTCACCTTCTCGAAAAATAAATGACCATTGGAAAGGCAGTAGAAGCCTGAGCTGGCACTTCTTGATCCAAATTTCATCAGACACGAACATTTACCACTGCGTTCATGTGCGATTTGAAAAATAAAATGCGCGCAGAACTCGCAGGCACTCACCTGAACTCAGCCCCGTACAACTGTCATGTAAACGGTTGAAAAATATGCCCGAGTCGAATAAGCCCGGGCTAATTTTCCTCAACCAAGAACAACACTGCTAACAACTCTCTCACTGGATTGTCGGGAGAAGCTGGGGCTTGTGCTTCTGTCGCGAGCTGGCCTAGCCCAGCTTCGGAAGGTGGCGCATGATAAATGCCGATGGAATTCATTGCGAAACAGCACTGTTTAATAATAATTAGCCTGGCCATAATAATACGCCTACCCCTGACATGCTTGCCTGCCTACTCGTGTGCACGCATGCAGCATGCATGCATTCTTGCCGGAAATGTCTACCTGTGGCGACAATAAATTTGTTCATGGACTGATCTTCTTTTTTAGTGTTTGCGCACTCTTGGCTGCTGCTGTGGCACTTTTGTATGTTCATGCTACTGCTCCGCTCTGTACAGCTGCACTAGCCGTATTAAAGGGGCACTCCGGCTTCATTTTCGACGCCGAGTTTTCGATGCCAAGACGAAGGTTGGTGAAAGAGAAGACCCCTCGAACAAGAACGAGTCTCCAGAAGCGATCGAGTCGAGCAGGAAGACGACTTTTGAATTTCGGCCGAGCGAGCGCTGATGACGTAATGAGGGATTAGCTTGCCAGTGGAAATGCATCTGCGCACATACATTTCACACACTTTTTGGCCAATTTTCAATCGAAGAGGAGGTTGTTTTCTATGTTCTCTCAACGTCGTGAGCGATCCCGTCTTCTATACCCTTCCAGGTACCCTGAAGGTCCTCCAGAGGAGAATTTATCTCCATCAAAGCGTTGTTGATCCGCTAAATTCGTCTCGAGACATATTCACCCAGTGCAGTGCTGACAAATGTAGAATGTTGAATCTGTGATAATTGTCGACGATGGACAGAAAGGTTGATAGCCGCTGTCGCAGGGAAAGTGAAGCTGCTGGAAGTAACAACGGGGAGCTTGTTAGCATCACTTGATCAAAGCAGCTAGACGGAATCGGGGAGTACTGACTATTTGTCTCGCCCTCAGTTTAGTGAATTTTATGATCAGAAAATTTTTCGATCAGCCCCTTCTACAAGATGTGTAGTACAGGTGATTTCTGAACTTGACGATATGGAGACCGACCAGTTGTCCTACCAACAACGTGTACCTGCAGGAAATTCACCCAAGGCTATTGCTAATGCTATCCTCTTCAGTGGCTGTTGTTTTTTTAGTAAAAATATGTTCACTTCTCTCAACATATTCCTGCATGGCAGCAAGAAGGTGCGCTATGGAATTCAACGCCACAATCTTCGCCCAGCTGTGGATGAAGCATGGTCAAGTCATGGCAGTACATATACTTGAACCAGATGAGAAATTGAAGTTCATTTGTGATGCGAAGTTTGACAGCCCCAGTGACCGAGTCAAGCGTTGTCTTTTGCCGTGGCACAAATTGCTGAAGAATCCGAGATGTTCTTGGAATTATGCACATGGATACTACCAGAAATAATGGTGGCATGAACCATTGTGGAATGGGACAGCTCACGGAGAATACTGGAATAGCTCAAGTATCTCTAGGCGATTGTAAATCCTGTTCTGGCTGATAGCTTCGGCCTGCTGCGCCCGTCCATGTACAATGATGGGAACATGCATTTCTGTTTTCTACATATTTGCTATCTACTGTACTGTGGTATTACAGTTGCAGGTCCCTTATATAGAAATATGTTCACCCCCCCCCCCCCCCCCCCCCCACATACCCACATAAATAGGAACTAACAATTTCACTGTTGGACTCGCCGGTGGCTAGAGAGCAAAGGATGAATTTATAGCAAAGAAAAGGACCAGGGAACTACAAGTTACGCTATAATGTCCACGAACTATTTCACTGTATTTGAAATAATTTTGTTTGATACCCTGAGAACTCTGAAACTTTGCAGCACTGTGGATTATATCTGGATACAACATTTATGGAAGGAACACATAGTTCAAATAATTATAGCACTGGATTGTTGAGATTGTGAGCACATTCCAATCAGTACTGTACATATTTATAAGCGGTGGCAATCGTTAGGAATAGGTCGTGAGTTGTCAGAGTGCTCTAGTATATGAGAGAATGTTTTGTTTGTCTAATCGACGGCTCGTTTGAAGCCAGAGTTGTTTGAACTTGCTTCAGTCGACTTGATTCTAGACAGTAGTCGAAGGAGTACTATGAAGTATACACCAGGCGTAGTCTGTAAGCTATCTCGTGAGAATTCTGTCGGTACACATCAGGTATCAGCTTGCAAAGATGGCTCCTCTCTGTTTCTTGAATGTATAGTTGGACTGTGGCTCCAGCGATTCCCTTCTCAGGTACCATACCCAATACGGTCAATGCATATTGGACAGACCTGTGTGCACAACAGAAATAGTGCAGAGAAATCTCTCAGCTCATGAACACATCAGTGAAGTTTGAACTGCCGTTGTTTGTGGCCATCAGTATAAACCTATCGACTATAAGAATAATGTGCAAAAAAACCCTCTATAACTACAGGTGGGGCCATGGAATTATAAAGCATCTAACTTAGGGAACTGCCAATTCGGGTCGGAGTTGCGTTCGAGGCCTGCAATTCATGATGGCTATCGTATGTTGCATTGACCAGAGATCATATAAAACTTCCATGCCACATTGAAACACGCACTACTTTCGAGTACTTTGGTATCCCCCACCAAATGGGCATTCGTTCTCGGGGTGGCAGGCGTCACCATTCGTTATGCCTGGATCAGATTTCATTGACCCCAACTGTCATGAAGAATCATCTTTACTTCGACTGGATTTCAGTACAAGTTAGTTGTAGAACTGCAGAATAAATTTTGTTGTATTTGGGCAACCATTTCTCTACAAACGCTCTATTTGGAAAATATTTTTTTAAATAAAATACATGTCCAAATTCCACATCTACCCAAATCGGAATACTTGATCACGTATTCAGTCCTACACGGAATGTTTAGAAAACGCCAGGGAATAGGAATTTGCTAACGAGAACTCCAGGCCAGGGTACTAGCATACGAACAAAACAAGATAAAAACTCACCAGTATACTTGTAGTAATTCATGTCGGTGTAATATTCACGATAAGCAACGAGGCATCCTCCGATTTGGTCAAGCTGCTTTGAAGTCTGGTTGTTCAGGTGATACAAACGGGCTCTCTGTTGTTACTTCCAGCAGCTTCACTCTCCCTGCGACAGCGGCTATCAGCCTCTCTCTCCATCGTCGACAATTATCACAGATTCAACATTCTACATTTATCAGCACTGCACTGGGTGAATATGTCTCGAGACGAATTTAGCGGATCAACAACGCTTTGATGGAGATAAATTCTCCTCTGGAGGACCTTCAGGGTACCTGGAAGGGTATAGAAGACGGGATCGCTCACGGCGTTGGGAGAACATAGCAAACAACCTCTTCTTCGATTGAAAATTGGCCAAAAAGTGTGTGAAATGTATGTGCGCAGATGCATTTCCACTGGCAAGCTAATCCCTCATTACGTCATCAGCGCTCGCTCGGCCGAAATTCAAAAGTCGTCTTCCTGCTCGACTCGATCGCTTCTGGAGACTCGTTCTTGTTCGAGGGGTCTTCTCTTTCACCTACCTTCGTCTTGGCATCGAAAACTCGGCGTCGAAAATGAAGCCGGAGTGCCCCTTTAACTGTCGTACCCAGATGCACACATTCAGCCCTGGCTACGCTTTGGAACTGTTTTCGTTGCCTATGTCCTCATCTCTCTGCCTGGGCTCTCATTTATCTTTGCTTGCTTGCTTGCTTGCTTGCTTATATTGCTGAGGGAACATATGCTGGTTTGTATTCGTGGGCCCCATGGTGCATGGGCCACACGTACTCATCCGGCGGATATGTGTGAATAATAATAATAATAATATTTTCCTCATGTAAACGGCCCCTAAGTCAAACATTACATCATCAAGGTCAGTGGAAAACACAAAGGTGAGGCACCTGAGAGTCAGGTGAAACAGTGATGAAGAGGAAGGCATAATGCAGAATGTGAAAGTATGACGTAGGTGTGCAAACATGCAGTGCGTGGTACCTAAAACGTCACGTGTAGTGCTACACGTTACGTATAATGTAGGTAGTGATGTCAGAGAGACGCTACAGAGCTCCCCTCCTAGTGAATGACTTCGGACTAGTATGGAGTGAACGATAAAACCAAAACATAGCATTAGAGATTGACTCAAGGAGATGTAGATGCAAGTTCAGTAGTAGGATGGGAAGCGTACTTGGCGGCCGGAACGGGTAGTACTGGGGGGGGGGGGGCGTTTCATAGGCGAGTGATGCGGGACGGGCGGTGGGCAAACTGGTGACAGAGGTTGGACTAGCATCCATGTAAGCCGGCTTGAGGCGATCGATGGAGACTGTGTCATGACGACCGCTGATGTCGACAGTGAAGAACTTAGCCTGTCGGGATAATACCGGGTATGGACCATCGTATGGACGTTGCATCGGTCTCTTGACGGCGTCGCGTCGGCTGAAGACATGAGTGCAGGTCGACAGATCATCCGGGATGTAGACATGCTGAGGTGGCTGGTCACGCTGTCTTGCAGGACGGAGGGTAGCCATTGTGGAACGAACGTAGGCGACTCACGTACGAGCTTGGATCGGGGAATTCTTCGGGACTGGGTCGAAGAAGTCGCCCGGCAGGCGGAGAGTGGAGCTGTAGACCATCTCAGCAGTACTACCATTGAAGTCCGACTTCACAGAGCAGCGGATGCCGAGCAGGACGAGCGGAAGGTGTTCAGTCCATCGCTGAGGATTAGTAGAGGCGCGCAGTGTCGCTTTAAGCTGGCGGTGAAATCGCTCGACTATACCATTGGCTGCGGGATGATATGCCGTGGCCCGGCAGCGTTTAGTACCGAGGAGGCGGGTGAGAGCAGTGAAGAGTGATGACTCAAACTGTGAACCACGATCAGTAGTGACTGTAGTAGGAACACCAAAGCGGGCTATCAACGTGCAGAGGAATTGACAAGCGACAGTCTCTGCGGTGATGTCGGCAATTGGGACAGCTTCCGGCCAACGAGTGAACCGGTCGACCATAGTGAGGAGATACGTGAAGCCGTTGGATGGCGGCAGTGGACCAACGATGTCAATGTGGACGGACATGTGAGAACCGAGCGTCGGGCGGGCCAAATGAGGACAGTGGAGCTGAGGTGTGACGATGAACCTTAGGGTGCGTTTGGTTGGTACGATGTAGAACAGGATCGAACAGCTGGTGCAGATGGAGCAGCCTCATGCCAACCAAACGGTACTCCAGAAACAGAGCACATTTTTGTGGAAAAATGTGCCAAACTTGGTGCATTCTTCAAAATGTGTATGGGTCACCATGGTCACTTTGTACGGTACGACGAGTCCAACCCAAAAGCGTATGCACGTGATCATTTGGGAACAAAATCGATGTTCCCGCCAGGTTTCACTGTGAAAAAGTGAAACTGCTCGGTCTGCTCCGGCCTCGAGGCCCGAGCAAGCAGAACATGTTCTGGCCGACCCAGAACAGGTGCAGTCCCAACCAAACGCGCTGTTCTGGTGAATCCTGTTCTAGTTCGTACCAACCAAACGCGCCCTAGACTCCATGAACTCAGAGGTAAAGCTGAGGTGTCGAAGCTGACGAGGGCTGTGGCTTTGAGATTGTCGGCTGATGGCATGAGTGATGGGTTTGTGGTCTGTACTGATATGGAATTGCCGACCTTCCAGATAATGGCGAAAGTGCTTCACGGCGAGGTAGATAGCGAGTAACTCACAGCAAAACGTGCTGTACTGCGTCTCAGCGGGTTTCGGCTTCCGTGAGAAGAAGGCTATGGGGAGCCAGTCGCTGGAGTCGCATTGCTGCAGGACTGCGCTAACGGCACAGTCGGAGGCGTCGGTCATTAGGCGACCTTCAGCCGGCTGGTTGATATGATGCAGGGTGACTAACTCTGAGAATGCGTTCTTGACAGCGTTGAATGCGGCGACAGAATCCTCAGTCCAGGCTACCGGACCCGCTTTCTTCGGTCGACCAGCTAGGAGGGCGTGAAGCGGGGCGAGTTTGGCAGCGAGCTGAGGCTGGAACCGGTGGTAGAAGGTGACCATGCCAATGAACTCACGCAGTTTGCAGATGGAGGTGGGCTGTCGGAAAGCACGGATCGCGACCACACGAGCAGCCAATGGGCAGATGCCAGTAGAGTTGACATGGTGCCCCAGGAAGTCGACGGAGGGAACTCCAAAGACAGACTTCTGGACATTGATGACGAGGCCAAAGTCGACCAAACGCTGGAAGACTTGACGGAGATGATCTTCGTGTTCCTCTGGTGTAGCGCTGGCGATCAGGAGGTCGTCTAGGTAGAGGAAGCAGAACGGGAGACCGATGAGTACCTGGTTCATGAAGCGTTGGAAGGTCTGGGCGGCGTTGCGTAGACCGAAGGGCATACGGACAAACTCAAACGGGCCGAACGGCGTAATGACAGCCGTCTTAGCGATGTCATCAGGGTGGACCGGTATTTGGTGGTACGCGCGGACGAGGTCAATCTTGCTGAAGACGGTGGTGCCATGGAGGTGAGCCGTGAAATCCTGCAAGTGTGGAATCGGGTAGCGGTCAGGTACGGTCGAGGCATTCAGGAGGCGATAGTCTCCGCAGGGGCGCCAGTCGCCAGACTTCTTGGGTACCTAGTGGAGAGGTGATGCCCAGCAGCTGGAGGATGGCCGGATGATGCCGAGCTCAAGCATGTGCTGGAATT